ATGTTTATTTATAGAAAGGTAGTTTGTTGTCCAACTCTGATACAACTGAATTTTAAATACTTTATATAGGTAAGTTACTGAGGAATATAATTATCAATATTGTAAGTGGTGACATGGCTTTAGTTGTCTGTCTTTTTCACTTTTGGGTACCTTCTCCCTGACCCCACAAAGCATTGTCTATAATTTGCAATGTATAAGAAAGACAGGTTTCATGTTTTCCTTCCTTTGACAGTCTGTACTGTCAAAGATATATCAGGAATGGTGGTGTCTTGATTTGTGTGTTTCAGTGAATTTCCTCTTACTATTCCATAGGTCTACTGGAAAGGAATTTGCACTAAAGATCATAGACAAAGCCAAGTGCTGTGGAAAGGTACAGTATCCATCCTTGCTTTGTAAAAGAAAGTGAAAAGGGTTGGAGAGATGCTCATTCTGGTGAATGGTAAATAGGAATTCACCTATTTAAGTTCCCTGGGTCCCTGAGGGAGACCCTATCTCTGTGTTCCAAGGGTGACACTCTCCTTGGAAAGAGAGTGTGTAATAAACAACTGGTACAAGATTTGCAGACACACTATGAAGAGTTCTCTCCTCAACATGATGAACTTCTTTGTCCCGTTCTCAAGCTGGGCCTGAGGCTGAGTAAAAATTGAAGAATGGAGTACTATTAAACTACAGTACTTCAAACATGTTTGAAAAGGTAGCTACTCTATAGCAGTGATGAAGACCTTTTCAGATTTCTTTCTAGATGTACAGCGGCACTTCTAGGAAAGCAAGCTGGGCACTGTCCAGCGCCAGGGGCAGCTGACTTGTGGCTACTAAGCACACGAAATGTGACTAGTCTGAAGTGAAATATATTGCAAGTGTAAAGTAGACAACAGATTTTGAAGATTTAGTACTAAAATAAGAACATTAGGTGCCTTACTAATGTCTTGTGAATATGATTACATGTTGAAATGATAATATTTTAGATGTCAGAGGTTAAATAAATTATATCATTAATTTTACCTACTTTGTACATTATTTATGTGGTTAGAAATTCTAAATGATTTGTGGTTAGAAACTCGAGAGGTACATATGTTGGTCACATTATCCAGTGCTGCACTAGAGCCAGATTGTATAAAGTTTAAATGGGGGCTCTGCCTCTTTTGCACGTGTGACCTTGGGGTAACTACTTAACTCCTTTGCGTCTCGGTTTCAGAGATGCAAATGTGTTTTATTAATTCTTTTAATTTTGATTTTGGAGTTACATTTTTATTCTTCCACATATGCATATGCTGCATTTATTCTCTATTGAAGCACCCATCCAGAAGCTCATCTGACTCCCTTGCCTTTTCTTTCTTCCCTCTCCCCTGATTTCTTTGGTAATTATGAACCTTTTTTGACTAAATCCAATATTTATTCCTGCTTTATATTGCCTGTTCATTTTTTTGGTATTTATATTCCACAGATAAGTGAAACCATCTGATATCTTTCACTTTCTGACTTATTTAATACAATCACCTTGATATCCACCCATTTTGTCCCCCCAACCACTGTTTAATACTTTTTAATAGTTGTGTAATATTCCATTGCATATATATTCAAGAGTTTCTTTATCTATTCTTGGTTCTATGATTTGGCTATAATGGACAGTTTTGTGAACATAAGCATATGTATGTCTTCACATTACAATTTTCATATTTTTAGGATGAGTACCTCATTGAGGTGTTGCTGGATCATACAAACTTCAAAAAAATGTGGTAATTAAAGATATCTAAAACAGTCATAGGAAAAAATTTGCTCTGGTAAGGATAATGATTTAAGTATAAACAGCTGCTTTAGTAGTTAAAATTTTAATTTCAAAACTTGATTTGTTCCAAATAAGTTGATTTTCCCATTAAATTTTATTTTTAGAAAACAGTGGCATGAGAATTTGTGTTAAAAAAAAGTTTAGAGGCTCTCCCTGGTGGCTCAGTGGGTTAAAGCACCGCTTTATGAAGCTCTCCAAAGCCACTGCAGCACGATTTTGATCCCCAGCCAGGGAGCTCACCTACATGGCACAGCAGACCTCCCCGACCCACCTGCTGCTCTCCTCAGCAGTGTACTTTGTCAGTCTGCCTGTTCTGCTCCCCACTCTGTCTCTGGTGAATCCTCTTACCCACCACACATTTGGCCTATACCCCAGTTCTGTGCATAAATAAATAAATCTTTAAAAAAAAAAAAAAGAGTTTAGAGGCATTCAGCCATACTGATGGAGTATTGTTTGTTATTTAGTGGTTTGTACTGGAAGATCAATAATGCTGAAAACAGTGTCTGCTTCTTATTGTGTTTTCTATTCATATATGTAAATAAATTTTGTGCTTTAGTTTTAATGACTTTCAAAAAAATTATGTACTGTTTTTATAGATAAAGAGATTGAGGTTAGTTTCCCAATTGTCACTCAGAGACAGAACAGTGCTTAGGATTTTGGGCTGCTTATTTATTTCCCTTCAACATTGTCATGTTCATGTTCCCTCTCCATGTTCAGTTTATTAATTTGTTTATGTGATAAGCAGCTGGGGTAAAACTCCTAACCTCTCTTGCTTTCTTTTTGCTTTTCTGTAATATGCATGAACTTTATTAGATTAATTTATTCATTTACCTAAAATTTGATGTGTGTGAAAGATAATATATTTGGAATAAGGTAATTTAGCATGTAAATGAAAACCAGTTCTACAAAGAGTATCCTAGAAGTTCAGGGGAACCATAGGGGAGATGTAGGTGATCAGTGAAGAGCAGTGGGTGGGATATCAGTAGATAGCAATGGAAAAAGGCCTTCGGGCAGCTAGCACAGCCCAGCACAGCCCAGAGGACTCAGAGCACGCTGAACTCTTCTGAATTAGGACATTTTGCAACATCTGCCTCAGGGCCAGATTTATGGAGGTTGTTGAGAAGATATTTGTAAATTTAGGAAATCTTCCATGTCTTATAATCTTTTTAATTCTAAATAGTTCTTGCCCTCCCACAGCATGGGATGTCCTGAGCATTCTCTTTGCACTCTCTTCCCAGTTTGGCAATCATTACTTAGATGTGGATCCAGACAGAGCATAAATGCAAACGTATACTGAATTAGTTTCCTGAGTTGTTGAAATTAATTACCTTGAACCTGGAGGCTTACAGCAAGAGAAGTTTATTCTCTCACAGCCTCCGGATGCCAGAATTCTGGAATCCATACTCCCTCTAGGGGTTTCAGGGTACCTAGATCACGGCATGTAGTTGGCGGGATTCCTTAATGTGTGGCACCTCATTTCCATCTCTGCCTTTCCCTTGTCTGTGTTTCATTTTCCCTTTTCTGTCTATGAACTCCCTCCAGCCTCTACCTCACAAGGACAGGTGTGATGGTGTCATACACAACAGATATATCTTCATTGCAGAACCCTTAATTCCATGTGTAAAGAACTCCCCCAAATGTGGGAATATTTACAAGGTCAGGAGACTAGGACTTGGTATTCTGGGGCAGCCATTATTTATGTACCTATCACCAAAATCACATGAAATGTCTTGAGCATTTTGCTTGTCTTACTATTGAGCAGTAATCAAGGTATAGTATATATAGCAGCTGTAAAACCACTGCTTGTCGAAAGAGGTCATGCTGTCTGTTCATTGACTAACGCATTGTAGTGCTAACTAGGCTCCTGGGTAGAGCAAGGTAAACAACCAGCTCTGTCTATTAACAGCAAGGAGATGAGAACTTGGTTGGAACAAGTACAGGGGCAATAAGAACAAATAAGAGGGTACATGGCCCACTGTTGTTGAGCCCCACTACTTATAGGAGGTGTGAGCTAACCCAGATCCTGAGAAATAAGTAGGAATTCACCCAGGGAAGGCAAAGTTTCAGAGAAAACTCCCCCTGTACATGAATGGCCCTGGGTAGGGTTAGAAAGAAGTGAACAGATGAATTCAGAGGCTATTGAGAAAGTAGATCTGACAGGGATTCTTCAGGGTGCTGAGGACGAGGGAGGAAGGCTCAAGCTGGGATTCCCATCTGCTTGGGGCAGCCAGATTGTAAACAGATGACACACGGAGACAAGGACTGTCCTGTGAGCCTGGGAAGGGTGGAGATAAAATGATTGGTTTAGTTTGCTAGACTTATTCCCCTAATCCATTTCTCTTGCTCTGTCTCTGTGTTAAGCCCACCGTGGCCAAAGATAAGGCAGAATCCTTTGCCAAGTTAGCAGTTTTCTTTGTCATTAACTCACACAAGAACCATGGAACATTGCCATGGAACGATTCACATGTAAATTATTTGGAGTTAGAACCGTGAATCACTTAACATAAATAATAGAAGATGATTGAACAGTGTAAATTCAGCACGGTTCAAGGCAAAAAGTGGTGTTCATCATGTATGTAGAAACTTTTTTCCAGGAAGATGTCATCTACAGAATATTTTTATATATTAGAAACATTACATATGGGTTGTGTAAGAAATGGGACGCTAATACTTGCAAAGATGTTCATGCATTAGCTTTGGTTTGCTTCTGATGAGGATTAGCTTTTAAATGGATTGTTCTTTACAGACAATTTTATAGACAAAGTCAGAGATTGAGAAACAAATACTAACAGCTTCCACATCCCAGCAAAACACTCACTATGTGCTTGGAATACTAGTTGTTGTCAAGTAGAAAAGAGTGAGATGATAAATAAAAGTGGAGAAAAGGTTGCTGCTTACCCAGACATCTGAAACGCCACACTGCCTGAGGCCCAGGTACAGCCCAGAGAACATTCTTTTTTCTTCTTTCTTAAGAGATATTTATTCATGCATAAAGAACTGGGGGACAGGCCAGAGGTTCAGGGACAGTGAGAGGATTTATGAGAGACAGTAGGGAACAGAGCAGGCAGATGGATGAAAATATACTGCTGAGGGAAGCAGCAGGCAAGACAAGAGAGGTCTGCTGCACCATGTGGGTCAGCTCCCTGGCTGGGGATTGAGCTCAGGGCTATAGCTGGCTTCACAGTGCTGCACATTAACCTGTTGTACCACCAGAGAGGTCCCCAGAGCACTTTCTGTTGTGCTGTTTGTTGAAAAAGTTAGCCTTCGGGATGTATAGTCTCACGTGGTGGCTATTTCACCTGTTTCAATATGAGAGTGTTCTTGGGGTACTGTGGACAGGGATTACTTTGCATATGTCACTCTCAGCTAGCCTCAAGGACAGAATAGAGGCACACTGCCAGACTTTCAACTTTGGAGGAAATGGGAGGAGAGGGAACTGAGTGACAGATGTTTAAAAGAATATGAGGATTTTACTCCCTATCGTCCTTGCTTCACACAGAGTGAGACAGCCGTGTGCTTGCTTTTGCAGATCCCCCAAAGCACATCTAACTCTGCTTTGATGAAGGAGATGCTCAGATGGTCCAAAGACTAGCCTACACACCTCAGGGTTTGCTGAGACTCTTTTGTGGCTGTGACCGCAAGAGGTTGGCTGTGGCGCTGCGTCCCTCAGGAGGGATTCTGTCTGCTACTTTGTGCTGCTTTGTCCTTGCCTTGGACTAAGGGATGGACAATGGGCAGAGGCTCTGGCCCCAGCCTCCCAGTGGTGGTTTGTTACAGTTTGAGAACTCTGCTCTTACAAGAGCTTTGGAAACATGGCCGAGCTCCTGCACCAGTCAAAGACAGAGAAGCCCTCATTAAGGGGTATTGCTTCTCTCTGACAAAGCCCAGTATGATTCTTGTTTGACCTCAGCTCAGTGTGATATTGCTCTAGTTTCTGTCTTTTCAAGGAATTAAATATTACCAGCTTTGCAGCTATCATTTCACATATTTTTCTTGGGCTTGGGGGTTATAAACCTGGGTTTTCATCTTCCTCCAGGATGCAGTGGTTCCACAAGTGCATTGCACAGAGGTTGACAGAGAGTGGCCAGACTTAGCAAATGTTGATCTTTTCTTTCCCCTACTTATGCTTAGCATTTGCACTGTCACTTTCCAACGTTTGTTGACAACTCAGACAAACAGAGGGCTTTCAACACCCAGGAAACATGGCCCACCTTGCAGGAGCTTGGGGAAGATTTTCTCTGAATGTTATTTATTCATTTGCTGTAATTCATACTTCAGCTATGGTCAAAAAGTATTTTAAGACGGTTTAGAGTAATAATACATGTCTGCATAATTACCTGAAGATAGGAGAGGAGTCAGATTCAGTGTCGTGATCTAGGGATAATCATCTAGTACAGTGGACACTAGATTAGTGAAGGGGAAAAGGGACAATATGAAGGTGTATGAATACGTGATACATATATGCACAGTTAGGTAATGATGGCTCTTACAAGTTAAGTTTATATTAAAGCTATATTTGTGAACTCAGAGTGCATAATTAAAAATTATTAATGAGATTAATTAAAAATTTTTACTGAGTTTCCTCTGAATTAAAGGCAGTTTATTCTTTTAGTTAATGAGGATCAACTAATATGACATTATTGTGAGAGGTTTTTATATCATCATAAAATCAAGTAATAATTGCTCATGGCTCTTGGTGGCTGTACTGAGAATAATCCGTCAGTGCTGTGAGTAAGCATTTTGCCTCAGTATTGATGCTAACTGATTTTGACTCACTAGAACCAATATCCAGCTAAAGTTTTCGGAGAAGTGGTTCGAGTGAAAATGAGGATGGGGTCACCATGGTGACCTAACTTCAGGTCTGTTTCCTGACTTCAGATACAAGATGTTGAGGAATGCCTGCTTTGTGATTGACATTGTACCATATCATCATAGAAAGTCTCTTTTTCATAAAGTTCAACATGAAATTCCAGTTTATGGAGGCAAAACAAAACAAAACAGAAAGCCGAAGTTGTATGCCATGAGCAAGCCTAATTCCTAATACACGAGTCTTTGTTTCTGAGTGGTCACCATGGAGTTGCGCAGCCTGGAGCTGGGCATTGCTGTCTCAACCTCTTACAGTATTGGAAGTGAGGGAGGCACGAGAAACAGTTTGTTCTGAGCCAGGGCGGCGCCACTGAGCCCTCCCTGGAGTTTTTGAGGGAAGTTTCTTTTTGTTAGTAAGATGTCACACTGACTCATCCTGTCCCCATGGAGACCAGCTCGGCTAGGACTCGGCTTGTCTCTTTGCCAAGGGAGAGGCTTTCTTTGGCATCAGTTAAACCATGTCCTCTACGACATAGAGAGGAAGCAGAGGATGTGGCAATGTTGACCCAACTCTCTATCCCTTCAATGGACAGGAGCATCTGATTGAGAATGAAGTGTCAATACTGCGTCGTGTGAAGCACCCGAATATCATCATGCTGGTGGAAGAGATGGAGACGACCACAGAGCTCTTCCTGGTGATGGAGTTGGTCAAGGTAAGAGACTTCACTGGTGCCAAACCCCTAAAGCTACTATATTCTTGAAGGACCAAGAAGTGTTTTGATACTTTGAAACTTTCATTATTTAGAATCATCAAGCATAATGGCATTTTCCCATCTGGGTCAGCTGATGAGCCTTCTTGCTTGCCTTCACAGGATGGTCACTGTTGATATTTTGATAGGTTCTTCTATGTGTCCTGTAGGGTGGCGATCTCTTCGATGCAATTACCTCTTCAACCAAGTACACCGAGCGGGATGGCAGCGCCATGGTGTACAACTTGGCCAACGCCCTCAGGTATCTCCATGGCCTCAGCATTGTGCACAGAGATATCAAGCCTGAGAACCTCCTGGTATGTACATCACATCTGCCTTTCTGTGCTACTGAGCATCTCTCCTCTTTAGGATGACTGACTTCATGCAGCAACACGTGAACAGTGATTTTCAATTCTGTACCATTTCTACAATGAGGGGCTGAGAAAATGTAAATTTAGAACACCAGCATTCATCAGATCCAATATTAATGGATTTCTAGACTTGAACTGCTTTTCTGTGTTTATTTTTAGCAGACATTAGAGAATATATTTTCATGTATGTTTTGATTGATGGTGCTGCTTAAAAAAAGGTGAGCGAGAAAATTATGAGGCAACAAATTTCAAAGAATTGGAGGCAGAATTAGAGGCTCATAGGAGCCAGATATAGAACATTGGGGGTTCAGTATATATTGCGCTTAACTTGGGAAGATATCTATCCCATCCTGGCTTAACAGACATGGAAACAGAGACTGAGAGAGGGCTGTCATTTGGGGAGGGGGAAGGGAGCTTAAAAGTTCCATGTGTTCCACTGTTCTATAGAAGTCTTATTCCACTGTAGCTTTCAGAGACTGCCATCACCCTGGTTCCAGTTTACCTTTCCTGCTTCCTCTCCTGTCGCTCACCCCTCTCCATGCTTCTTCCCAGTGTGGCACTAACCTTCAGGTCTCATTTTACACACCTTTATGGTGGCCTTGCGCATGGGACCAGTCCTCCTGGCTGCTTTATAGAGGAAATCGTGAAGCTGACTGGAGAGTTCTGCATGCACACACATACATGGAAATATGTTCTCTGATGCCTGATAAAAATAAACGCAGAAAAGCAGTTCAGGTCTAGAAATCCATTAATGTCGGGTTTGATGATTGTTGATGTTCTAAATTTACATTTTCTCATCCCCTCATTGCAGAATTGGCACAGAATTCAACACTAGAATCAACACAGAATTTAACAGTGACTTTTCTACACCCACCTTGCAGGATGGGCGCATCGCCACTCTGGCTAGACTTGCCATGGCATAGTGATTTCTTATTTCTTATTTCTGTGTCTGTCTCTAGATTATAAGCACCGTTAGGGACAAAACTTGTGTCTGTTTTCTTTGACCCTGGGACCTTGCACAGTGCCAGGTAAACGCACATGGGTGGAGAGTAAATGGTTGTTGACTGACCCTGGTGGTCACCCAGGTGTTTGGCAGCCGGTGCTCGAATGCAAATCTTGATGTTAGCTGGTCGCTTGAGGGACACCCCAGGACCTCCAGTCCTTACCCATTCTTAAGTAGGTTCTGCCATCCACTACATAAAGCCACAAATTTACTCTTAATGCAGGGTTGGCCCAAAGTGGGGCCTCAAAGCTTGCCACGTGTTAAAGGCACCTTCTGGTAGAGAGCCCCAAGCAAGGGGCAGGAGGGGCCGGCAACTCAGGAAGGAAGGAAAGCGAAACACAAGGATAAGTCAGCGTAAGGCTGCCAGTGTCACCCTCTCCGTGGGGCTCTCTCACCCACATCTCTTCTAGTGTGTCCTGTGTCCCCCAAGCCCCTGTGCAAGTCCAAGGCCAGGGCGCAAGCAGGACTCCTTCACATGTCTCTGCCTCAGCTGCCTCCTCCAGGTCATCGTCCTCTCCCCCACATCTTTCTCTCCCTCTTCTAGCTTCTCCTAGCCACTCATCTCCACCCTTCTTGGGTGACGCAGGAAACCTGGACCTCTCCTTCCTGGGGTGCACTGTTCCGTTTACAGCCTGTCTCATATTTGCACTGCATAACTAATTGGATAGACTTTGAGGCTGTCCTGAGGGCTTTCTGCTAACCCACAGCATCTGTTTTCCTCTCTGTGATACCCTCTGGAGGTGGTACCTGAGGCACCGTTTAAAAGTATGTGTATTATTGTCTTTCTTTGGTTTCTTCTTATATGTTCCTGCTGTAAAACAAACATCCCTACTTTGTAAAACTGGGTGAATATACTCAGGTTTTATAAACTCTTGAGGAGGAATGGAGACATGTGCAAACCAGCCTCAACATGGAAGTGAGGATGTGATGTTCTCGCCTCAGAACGGCTTCTCCCCCATGCTAACCTGCACCGTCTGACAGTCTGGCCAAAGGCGTCACATGCAGCAGTGGCAGGATTTCACTTGGTGCCGTTGGTGGCTCTGTCTTTCGTTAGCAGGTTGGCATTGGCCTGCGATGGGGAAGTGCCATCGAAACATCAAAAGTCAACATACAGAGTGATTGTCAGCCTTTTTCCCCTAAAAACAAGTTCAGTTTTAAACACCAGAACATTCAGATTCCTGATTTGCATCCCCTCCCCTAGAAGCAGGGTCATAATTTAAAGCCCTGCCAAGGAGATGTATGGGTCCCCATGTCAGGGAGCATGGGGGTGGCCGTTAACACGCTGAGTTACAGCCTGGCCGTGCCCTGTCAGAGTTAACTAGGAGAGACCAGCGATAAATCCCGCTCTTCCAGGAATTGTGGGGAGAGGAGAGGTTGGTTTCTCATACTTGAAGCGGTTCTAAATCATGATGTTGACATTTTATTTAGAGAACATGCAGCGTTCCTTTTGTATGGGGGATCTGCATTCCTCACATTTTTATTTTGTATTCTGAGAGCGACTTTTGACAGAAGCATCCCTCACTGTGAGGTGGGGCCGCCGGCTCTTCAGGACAGGGCTTCTCACGGTTGTGAAGGTTTGAATCTGTGCAGGTTCTGCCCACGGCTGCAGTTGGGATGTGCTCTTCCTGGAGGGCCCCCTGGGAGCCACAGTCTGGGTCAGAATCCCCGTGGGCCACTGCTAGTGATGTGAGGCTCCCATCTGTAAAACGGAGAGACCAGTTCTCCCCAACGCCCCAAATGCCCAGGGGAGTGATGGACTTTATCCGTCCAGTGAGAAAATGTTTGGGAGAATATTGAAATGTACCGCATCTTGTGACATCATCCGTTCCTGGGAGCCCTGGACTTTCATCCATAATGGAAGGTCTTTGGGGTTCTTGGGTCTAACCTCTTTCTTAACTCTGTCCTTTGAAGTAATGCTGCGCATGTGCATATCAAAGCAGTGTCATAAAGTATGCGTGTATGTATCTAGATTTATGGACACTTGTTCCAGTTTTGAAGAAAATCTCCAGCTAAGATTTGAAATTTTCTTATGTTTTCTTTTCCACATTTACCTCTGTATCTACTGTTGGCGAAAGTTCAATCGATGAAATATCATTTCAGGCTTGTCTGTCCTTGTGACACTTCCCTTTTGATGTTGAGCTGAGGAGCAGCAGCACATAATTCAGTAGTTATGGAGTACGTGTCCCTTTCTATTAATGCTCCTGCATCTGAGTTTGAATTCCATAGAGGGGATGTGAAAAACAGGACTTCTGGGACTTGAGAGTATCTGACAACAATCCTTACGTGCCCCTAGGCATTTCTAAATTGAATGTCTAAAATAAGCACTATTTTTCATATCAAGCGCTTAATGAGTGTATTTTAGGTTGTAAAAACAAAATAACAGTGACATTAATAATTTTTTTTTTCCAGGATGGAAACACTCAGAATTTTAGTGTTGCTTATAATGTTCTTATCACTATAATTATTTAGGGAATTTCTAAAGTCTGGGTTTTGGTAAATGCATAATAAATTCTCACTGTAATTCAGATTGCTAATATTTACATTAAACATAATGGATGGAAAGTTATCCTTAGACAGAGGCAGGACTAAGAACCTGGTTTCTATTACGTTAGGCTAAGTCATTAGTAGCTTTAACTATTTTTCTGCCACACTGTAGGCCAACTCAGAATAATAAATATCTATGAGAGTCGCTAATCCTCACTGTTGTCCCATGAAACCTGAAAGTTGTAAAGATGTGCTGGGTCTGCGTATGTGGTACATAAACACGACACGGGTATTAAAATAGCAGAGTGGAAAAGCTTCTTACATGAGAGTTTAGAAGTGATTGCAGTGGCATCTTATTGAAAAGACCTATGAAGTTTGGGATCCATTGACGGGGGATCCCTGATGTTGATATTTTTCACTGATTATGTAAACCACCCCCTCTTCATTAAGTATTACATTAATGGATGGTGTTTTTGACACGCTTATCTTGAAAAAACATACTTTTCTAAATTTTTCTCTTCTGTTGGTAAGTAATGCTTTGGTTCAGTCCTCGGTAAAATATGAGGAAATGCAAATTAAGTATGCTTGAAACATAACATAGAAATTACATGAGTACAGGCTATTAGGTCTCTGTAATTATTCTCTGAATTTAGTGTTGTAAAAATGGACATTCAAGACACAATAGATGAGTAAAGATTACAGTCAAAATAGAAACTGCTCATGTATGTACTTGCTTTTCCCCCCAAACCATCCATTTAACTTTGACTTCTATCCACTAAGAAAAATGTGCTCATATGTAAAATTAAGTTTTTTTCTAATGATGGAACCACTACATGTTCATTTTAAACATTTTAGAAACTAGGAGAGAGTTAAAGGAATCTTAAATGCTGTTGCCTAGAGATTAAATTTACATTTTGGTGTATTATGTATAATATTGAACATTCCTATTTTTTGTAATAAATATTTCATATATTTAAAAAGTGTCTATGAATTACTTACACTCATAGAGATGGGCCATGATTGAAGTCATTACCTTACATAAACCACCGTTATGGTTCTTCCACTTTTTAAAAACAAATAAATCCTGAGATTGGTACCTTTGTGTATAACTTTTGGGTCCCTCTCTGTTCCCTGAGGGTAGGTTCTGACAGGTAGACTTGTGGGGTCAAAGGTTACAAATCATATTAAGAACATTGATATCTAGCTAAAAGACTTTTTAGAAAGATTGCTGCCATTGAAGCAGAAAGACTCGTGTTTCCACCAGCCTTGTTTAACCTGTGATGGAGATGGATGTAGAAGTTGGTCCTTCCAAAAAAGAAAAGGGTCATGCAAGGAACCTGTGCTGGCTTCCTCTCACTACAAACCCTCACCAACCTGGTGAGGCAGGTTTTCTCATTTCACAGATGGAGAAACATGCTCAGAGAATGATTTCCAAAGTCAAATAACCAGACAGTGAGTGGAGCGGTTGATTATTCAAGGCCAGATAATCTGATCCCCAAGTTTATTTTCATTACAAATTTCTGTGGTCTTTCCTTGATTATATTTATCTCTGGCTGTCTAAAGAAAAACAACTAATTTTATTTCGCAAGCTAAGCTTGTCCTGGACAATACCCAGTGCTCCAGTGGACACTCAGTGAACACCATTTGAGGTTCTCAAGTACCTCACACATAGTAGGCTCACAGCAACGGTCAGGTTCCCACCTCCAGGATCAGAGGTGTCTCTCAAGCCTCGCCAGGTGAGAACCACCCCAGTGTAGCTTCTGGGAAAGCATGTGTACACACTTAGTGTACTCCCAAGTAAGGGTTTTGCTGTAGAGAGGGCTGGGGGCCAGGAGGAAGGGATTATTGTCTTTTTCAAATTTCTAACAATCCTGTGAAATATTTCTTTTGAGTTTATTGGTAAATGTAGTCCTGTTGGTTTCACCTACAGAGGTCTCCTCTTGGAACCACTTAGAGAAAAAAAAAAAAAAATCAACTCCTGATGGTGGACTGGTTTCTGTTCCAGGTGTGTGAATATCCTGATGGAACCAAGTCTTTGAAGCTGGGGGACTTTGGGCTGGCCACCGTGGTTGAAGGCCCTTTGTACACGGTCTGTGGCACCCCGACTTACGTGGCCCCCGAAATCATCGCTGAAACTGGGTAATTCTCCTGACTGCTTTGGCTTTGGTGGGAAACGGTATTTTGTTTCATGGTCTTCTCTGCATTTGGAGGGCAGGAGAGACAACCGGTTACCTAATCAGTGACTTCACTCTCAGGAACTGGAGTCTCTCTCAGAGCCCCAGACTAGTCTTGGGGGTGTGGCGTATAGCCCCAAGACTGTGGTTAGGTTGGAAGAGAAGCAGCCACCTTTGTCCAAAGAGTAATTAATTCCTCTGTGTGAAGGGGCAGTGTGACACCAGGGGCCTTTGCCTCACAGTCGTTCCCCAGTAGGGAGGGTGGTCACTGTGAGCACAGCAGCATCTCTCTCCCTCCCACCCACTTTGCTTTCCCAGCTATGGCCTGAAGGTGGACATTTGGGCAGCAGGTGTGATCACATACATACTTCTCTGTGGATTCCCACCATTCAGAAGGTGAGTGACTCTCTGGTGTCGTCATTCGAATTGTAGATTGTCTCCCTTCACTCCCATTTCACTCCTGGCTTAGAACCAGACACTGGCCAATGTTCCTTGGCCAAGAAAAATGAGATTTGAAGGTCCTTATGAAGCAATGAAATCTTGTAGTTTTTTTTTTTCTTCTTTTTTAACAACTCCCTCTCTAAAGGATCCAAATTTGTTTTCATAGAAACAGGGAAACTCTTTCCTTTTAAATGTTTTATCCATTCACATGACACTTAATTAAGTAGAGCTTTTGGCATCTACAGGCCTGGCACAGGTTGGCTCTTAGTATCACGTATGTATGTCAGCCAGTGGGAGTGGTGGAGGTCACGCAGAGGCTGGGTGTGACTGGGACACAGTGTACAGTGTTCACAGCAGCAGGGCTGCTGGTTTGTGTCCAGGGTGAGTGTGGGACTTAACCACCACATCCTTCATTTTCTACCCCAAAGGGATGGCTCTTTTTTTATTGACATAGTACTGGTTTATGACATGATTTAGGCTTCAGGTTTGCAATTTTTTAAGTCAATACCTGTACATACTACTTTATGTTTACCCCAGAATTCTAATTTCCATCCATCACATACAGCTGACCCCCTCATCTGATTTACCCACCCCACTTCCCCTTCCCTCTGTTAAGCACTATTTTTTCTTATAGTCTGAGTTTGTTGTACTTGATTCATTGTTTTGTTGCTTTATGTTCCACCTATAAGTGAAATCATACAGTATTTGTGATCCTCCGTCCGACTTATTTCACCAAGCACAATTCCCTGAAGTTCCATCCATGTTCGTAAAATGGCAGGATGCCATCTTTTTTCTAATAGTTTAGTAGAAAGTCATCGTGTAGATATATAACACATCTCTACCCACTCATCTTTGATGGGCACTTGGGTTGTTTCTGAATTCTTGATGACAATGAATAACGAATGCATAGTGGATGCTGTGGTGAACATGGAGGTGCAGAAATCTCCCTTCGGTTTAATGTTTCCATAATTTGTGCGTTGATACCATAAGTGGAACAGTACAGCATCGGTCTTAACCAATTCATTCCCTCTTTGGAGCAAAGGAGAAGCTTTGTGACACAAATTCATCTAATGGTGTATGTTTGATTTTTCTTAGTTTTCTTGAGCTGTTATTTTGATACATTCTTTTGTTCATTTTATAACAATTTGTGGAGTAAATTACTATGTGCCAGGCACTTGCCAGGAATCAAATGGCAAACAACAGTCTTCTAAGGTCGTGGTGTTTATTGTAGTTATTGTAGTAATGGGAGAGTCAGTGAAAAATTGGTTTATTCCCTCCCTACCCAGTATTTTATTCTGAAAGCTTTCAAACATGCAGAAGAGTTGAAAGATTATCTTTTTAAATTGATCAGCTTTCAAATGAACTGAATAGTTAATTTTACTGACATTATGGTAGACATAAGAATGACACAAATCTGCCTTTACTGACATATCCATGAGAATATTGGTCAAGAAGAATAAACTGAACCTGCGGGCATGCACTGTAAATGGTTGGAAATCACAAAGGGTTGAATGAGTGATACGCCATTTGAGCGGGACCTTATCCTGTGGCTCTGTTAGAGTTCTGTAGATGAAAGGCTCCTTCTGCCTGGCTGTTATTCGTATCATGGTTTCCCAGCAAGGTCACTGCTGGGAAGTAGGTTATATGGATGTCAGATTACTGCACATACTGGCTAGCTGTTGCTGAATAACAAACTGTCCCAAAAGTGAGGGTTGTGTCGACACTCTCTGCATCCAGTAGGGACTTGGTGTCCAGTATGGCCCATTCACATGCCTGGTTGTTGGCACAGTGTCAACTGGGACAGTGAACAAAGACTTGGGCACTTGCCTTTCCCCAGCAGTGGGCTAGCCTGGGTTTCACGTGATGGTGGATACGGGATTCCCGAAGGCAACCAGAGAGGTGTGTCCCACTGCCCAAGCATGCCCCAAGCCTCTGCTTACTTCACATTTGTTGACATCCCATGACCAAGTGAAGTGAAATGGTTAGGCCTAGAGTAAATGTGGCCAATTAAGTATCTACACATCCATAGGGGATAATTTTTCATTATTGTTACAACCACAGTTTCACCTCCTGGAGTCAATAATTCCCTGCTTTGAGAACCAGTCAGGTAGTTTGGTAGCAGGTGATTCTGGGGCCAGTTAAGCAGAGCTCCCTTCCTTGGTTAACCCTAGTGGAGATCCCTTGGGCAAGGGGATCAGGTATCAGCTTTAGAGGAATGTGTGCTCACAACTCCCTCTAGTGTTTCCAGTTGCCAGTGCAGCCAGGGAGTTTTTTTCTTTGATAGCTTTTTTCCTTTAGTGAAAGTGAGACCATTGTTGTATTTATCATGCCTTGGTTCTCAATGGGCAGCAGCTTATTTGTGGGCTCTGGATAAAAGTGTGGCTAATCAAAAGTCTAAAGACATGTTCTTCATACCAGCACCTGTATATGTGTTATTCAAAGGCTTGCCGTACAACTCCAGCTGGTTTATTTGTGAATCTACAAAAATGTGTTTCCTCTTTTATGTCATATTGTTAATAAAAAATAATCTACAGTGTTAAGTATTAGTTACAGAAGCATCTTCATGGCATATCAGAATCTTCTGAATATATTTTATAATATACTATATGTGTTTATAAAGGTGGAAATGAGACTTTAGTGATAAAAAAGTTATAGATTATGTACATACATATGCATGTAAAATCAAAGTCTTTCAAATAAGTAGTTCAGAACTCTCTTTTTATACAAAAGATGATTTCTGGCCCTCCCTGGTGGTGCAATGAGCCCAGCACTGCAAGTGAGCAGCAGCCTCTTCAGTGCGAGTTCGACCCCCACCCCAGAGGTGACCCACATGGCGCGGCAGACTTCTCCTGGCCCACCTTCTGCTCCCCTCTGTAGTGTACTTAGTCAGTTGGCCTTTTCTGCTCCCCACTCTGTCTCTGATAAATCCTTTTACTGCCCCTGCACCTCTGGCCTGTACCCCAGTTTCATATGCATAAATAAATAAATAAATATATATATATATATATATATATTTTTATTTTTTAAGATTTATTTATTTATTGTAGGGTACAGGCCAGAGGCTCAGGGGTGGTGAGAGGCTTCACCAGAAACAGAGTGGGCAACAGAACAGGCAGATGGATGAAGTACACTGCTGAGGGGACCAGCGGGCGGGTCAGGGGAGGTCTGCCGCGCCATGTGGTCACCTCCGGGGCAGGCGGGAATCGAACTCATGCGGAAGCGGCTTTAGATTCTCAGCGCTATGCTTTAACCCGCTGCACCACCAGGGAGGGCCTATTTATATATATATTTTAAGATGACTTTCACCCCAAAGTTTTTAAAGTTGTTACCTGGAATTTGTTGTTGCAACTCTTTTAAACAGCTGTAATATCACTCATTCTTCTTTCAGGCTTTTGGTCTTTGCTTGTCTGTATTCTCTCATCAATCTTTTCAACACCAGATTCATTGTTATTAAGAAGGATATTGGTTTTCATAGCAACCAATATTTTAATTATTTTCTAAGCACAGCTCTGTCTTTAGGATCACTGACAAAAGGTTTCTGTGCTTGGCTACACTGAGAATGTTCTGCTATTTCTCTGAAGCCCAATCATCTCTTAAGTAGAATTTTTTTGTTTGTGAAATACCCTATAACATTTTCAGGCTACCTTGTCGGGCCCTTAATGATTTGACTTTGAAAAGAGGGAATGTAAATTCTTTCCAGGTTTTTCTGGAAAAATCTGGACATTGAAAAAAACAGACACTGAGAAATGTCCATCAGATAGCTCCATCCTAAGGCCTATTTTGTTTTAGGATTTAAAAGGCCCTGGAACATCTCAGCCAGAGTGTAGCATATAAATATGTTAACGAATCCAGTATGGATTTCATCTCAGTGGCTTTTATTTCATGGCTACTAAGAAGGATAAATGAGTTCTAATTTCTGTTGTAGTGTGGGCAGCCCCGAGCCCCCAGAGCTAAGCAGGTCACAGCAGACCCTGTGGGAGCCTCATGATGGCTGAGACCTCCAAGGTCTGCTTGTTCAGTGAAGGCTTTAGACCTACCTACAACTTTTTAATTGCTTGCAAACCAAATAACATCAGAAAACCACATATATTAACAGAATACTAGCTATTTGAGATTTCTGGGAAAAGAAATAAAAGGATGTGAGTGGGGTGATAGAGCGGGTTGGTTTCTGGAAATAGGTGACTTTTCTATTTTCTGACAATGTCTCCTTGGAGCTACTAGTTTTCTAAAGCTTTCCATACTGGGTTCTTACATATGTTCTTCACTTGTTTTGAGGGCAAATTGAGCAGATTTCGGTCAGTAGAGACCGTACACTGGAAAGGAAAGAAGCCACATAGACACCTAGAAAGACATAGGTGGCATATGAGAAAATCGCTTTCAGGAGAGAAGTGATGGTCTCTTCCCTGCCAGCTGCTGGTCAGATTTTTGCTGCTTGGTTGCCTTTTTAACTCAGCTAATGAAATGGAATTCCAGCAGCTCACAGGACACGCAGTCCCATCATCCTACACCTCCAGAAGCTGTCTTCAGATATGGCCCTAAAACATCTAGGCAGTTCTTAGAGGGCTGGCAGCCTGACTCAGACTCTGCCCTGTTGGCCAGGTGGGACCCCAAGTGAGCACCCCAACCAGCAGGCTGGGCTCCTGTTGGGAGCTCCAAGAGAAATGTTTATACATGACCTCCTGTGCTGAGCATCACTCTTGGATTTGGATTTGACTCTAGCAGCCCACACTGGGTTTTCGACTCGGGCCTCATGATGGCCTGGAAAGACAGTAACTGTGTCCTCACCCCGACTACCAGTGCTGCACTCACAAAGCAAACGGGGCTCTAAGGCAGTTCCTGGGAGGATGGGGATATCCAAATTTTCCCAAAGTGTTTGACATTTCCATGGGACCGTCCATCACAAGTCATGTAATTCATTTATTCTTGAGGCACCGGGGTGTGTGGGTGTGAGTGCACTTGGAGGGTGGGTCCCCTGGGTGCAGTTGGGGGGGTCTGGTGTGGGTTTGCTTCAGGCTGTGCAATTCCAGTTGATGCTTTTGGAGTGGTCTCTCAGACTGAGTGTAAATGAAAGTCGAGTTCCAATAAGGGCCTAATTATGTCATGAATGTTTTATCCAGACTCTTCTAGTGGCCATATGACTTTTTCACATGTCGGCTGTTTGACTGATCTTTGGCTGTTTTATTGGAAAAGTAGAAAGAGAGAGGGGCAAAATCTGAGTTAGATTTGCTTCTTTCCACTTGCACTGCCATGAGAGATTAATCAAGAACAGATGCTCAGATTGCCTTTTTTGAAATGAAGATTTACATTGTTAGTGGGTTCCATCTTTTCTTGTCTTGTTATTGCAAAGTAGACATCACAAAAATCTACCACTTTTCATTGTGTGGTTCAGTGGCATTAAGTACATCCCCACATTGTGTAACCATCACCGCCACCCTCCTCCACAGCTTCTCCGTCTGCCCGAACTGAAACTCTATGTCCTCCAAATTTCCCGAGTCTTTGTCTCCTCCCCACCCCAACCCTATTTTCTGAGCCTAAGCAGATATTCTTTAGCTCCTTATCTAAAAGTAAAGCATGTCACAGAAATGCTATGAGATACGCACCTGGGAGATGAAACATCCAAGATGAAGACACACAGATCCTTCTTCCCTCTCACCCAGGAAGCACTGTGTTGAAAAACTGTTAGGGACTTTGACTCTTCTTCTATTCCTTTGTCACTGACGTAGTGAGAACAATCTCCAGGAAGATCTCTTCGACCAGATCTTGGCTGGGAAGCTGGAGTTTCCAGCCCCCTATTGGGATAACATCACGGATTCCGCAAAGGTACCCACCCAGACCTGTTTCTGCGGGCTGCGTTACTATACCTGGGCTGCTCAGCCACCCTGTGAGGCTGTCACAGATCTCGGTATTTTACTTTTAACGCGAGATTTTTATTTATTTACATCTGTCTGTATCGCTCTATTTGAGGTAGCATTGGTTTATGACACGGGTGTGCTCTAGAGGCAGCAGCTCTTCAGATGTCTGCTAACGTGTCTTTTAAAGTTCATTCCACACTGCAGTTGCTGAAACTCCTAACCAGATTCCGAGAACTGGGCTTTTTTCCCAGCTTGTCCCACCACGCTCTTCTCTCCTCTAAGCTTTGAATGTTCCTTCTTTTATTTATTCAAGGATGGTGTATTGGACGCCCATCAGAAAACGGGAACAGACTTGTGGGACTTACTGAATTGCCAGAAGGAAAAATACTGCAGTTTACACTGTGGAATGATGATAATCACCAGAACTCTTAGGAGAGAACATCTTGGTTTAATGTAGATGCAGGAGAAACCTCTTTCCCAGCCGCTGACACAGCTGCGTAATTGCCTGGTGGGCACCGGGAGTGTAGGTGATAATAGCTTTTATGTTCAAACGACTGAGCAGCTGCGTTGGCCGTTCTTTGAAGTGCTTGGTTCAGACTCAGATTTCTGTGCTTGTGCTGGAATGACCCCTTTCTTCTCTACAGCCTTCTCTATTTCTTTCCAGGAATTAATCAGTCAGATGCTTCAGGTAAATGCGGAAGCCCGATGTACCGCAGGACAGATCCTGAGTCACCCCTGGGTGTCAGTAAGTACCCATGTTCCAAGGGGAACAATTCTGTCTCATCTGTGCCAAAGGCATGCAGAGGTTTGTGTTTCAGGGCTGTGGCACATGCTCGGGGGTCTCCTAAATGAGCACATAGTGCGATGATAGCTCTTGGGGAGATAGCCTTTGGCCCGGGACCCTGCGATACTTCATCCTGCCCTGGGAGTGGCCTGGGCAAGTCAGTGCCCTCTCCGGCCTTTGCGTCCTCACCTGCAGAGTGAAGGGGCTGGATGGGTGCTGTCTGCGGACCCTCTTGGCTTTCACCTTCTGTGAGTCTGGAGTGTGAGGCTTTCAGGATTTGCCGGGAGGTGAACATGTTCAAGACCCTGGCCTCTGTCTTCCTGGTGCATGGCCCTAGGATCCCCCTGCTGGGGGAGCTGGGGGTGGTGAGACACCCTCCAGGAGCTGGTGGTGGGGTGAGACACTGGCCTGGGTTCCTCTGGACTTCACGGCGCGCTCTGGGTTTAGGGTAACATGGCCCATGACATGGCAGTGGTGAGAGTGCATTTCCCTCTTTCCAGGAGGCTCCAGGAGAGTGAAGTTTGCTGCCACACACGTCCTGCCTGTGGGTTCAGCCTCTCTGGATCCTGTTCAGTGACTTGGCCCTCGGACCAAGTAGCTGAAAGGCCATATTCCTTTATGAGCAATAAAGACTAACAGTCATGAACTGGATTAAATTCAATTAGGAACTGAATTCTTAATTTAAGTGTTAATTTTGATGTTTGCACGGGCGGGATCTGCACTCCTTTGCGGGACGTTTGTGCCTCGGGGAAAGGCCCTAGACGCTGGAACAAAATCCTCCTTTGTGCCACAGGGAGCTGCCCCCTCTGTCCTTGGCCTGCTGCGCACCAGACTGTGGGGCCAGTGCAGGCACTTTGAAGGCATGGAGCTTCCAGGGACTGGTTTTCGAAGGCCCTTGTTTCCCTGACTGTGGCTGTTCTTAGGAAGAGGTGGTGGGGTTGTAAAGGAAGAGACCATTAAGACCCGATGAAACATCGGCTGTTTAATTCCTTTCTGTAGGACGATGCCTCCCAGGAGAATAATATGCAGGCAGAAGTAACAGGTAAACTCAAACAGCACTTCAACACTGCGCTCCCCAAACAGAACAGCACCACCACTGGGGTCTCCGTGATCATGGTAAGTGGGACGGGCCTATTGCTGTGGGAACGCTCGGTGTCTGGCCTGCCTGCTCAGATGGCGCTGGAGTCTGTGAAGTTACCAGCTCAGAGCCTCCCTCACATGGAAGCTGGCACCTTCCATGCTTCTCTTTCCACTTCAAGATGGGCTTGGCTGTGCGCTACGCCTGCTGGCTGACCCAGCCTCGAGCCCAGGGGGTGGGGAGGAGGTTGTGCAGGTACCGCAGGGGCTTCAAATGCAGGTGCCACCCGCCTGCATGGGCTTCAACAGCAGATTATATGAGGCAGGCGTTAGTCCTGGGGAAGAGGGGTTTTAAAAGCCAAGGTTAAGCACATACCATTCAGAAGTAAATATTTTGTGACCTTTAAAAAGCTTCGGTCTTCTCCGAGTTGGCAGAATGTTCTGAGAAGTCGGTAATGTCCTCCCGTAATGTTTAAGACCGCTCTTCTTCCAAAATATTTGTAAAGCAGCTCACCTAAACCGATACAGGCAGCAGATGAAAAGTGTAACATGAAAGTAAGCGAAGCAGCTTAAAAAAGTTTCGCAAAGGGAAAATGACGGTAGGGGCAGGCGGGGAGCCAGACCAGCCGGAGGTGAGGCCTGCACCCTGCCCACAGCACCCTCCCCCTCCCTGGTTCGGAGCAGCCGGCCTCTGGGGCCAGAGGCCGGGCGGACACTCTGCCCGCGGACGCAGGGGCCTTTCCCAGAGCTGCAGCACCGGCCGAGCACCTTCGCAGTCCTGCTGTAAGGAGAGGGGTGCTGGGCGGTCGGGGCCTGGTTGCCCTGACTGTGTTGAGTCCTAGCAGCTCTGTCGGCCACCTGGGAGCCTGACACCTGTGACGGGCCATCGCCATGGCCTGCCAACTCTCCCCCCAGGACCACTGGCCCCTGGGCAGCGGTTCCATTTGTTTCCCACCCAACTAGAAGGCCTCATGGCATGTGGTCTGGGGACTTCACCTAAATGCAGGGACCAGGGGGACCCTGCAGGGAGGGAGCCCCTCCCCCAGAGGCCTTGAGAGCTGGGGGGGTGTGCGCGCCCGCCCCCAGAGCAGCCCACGTGGTGGGCGCCCGTGTGTCTTGCGGTGCTCTCCTCCTCCCCCTGCTGGGAAGTGCTCCCCAGCCCTGGCCAGACAGCGCTTGCAGAACTGGCTGGGTCTCTTGACATCTTGCAGGACTTGGGGTGCTCTGTGCCAAAGCGATGAGGAGGGCCCTTGAGCTGTGGGTTCCTAGAGTTTCAGCAGCGTCCTGCTGAAAGCCTGAGAAAGTCAGCATTGTCCCAGGATCCCTGCCAAAGCGCTTGGAGAAGAACCATCTTGATGAAAACAACAGCATGACGTTTTCGCGCGGCTCAAGGAGGAGAGCGAGTGCCGATGGGGTGGGGGCAGAAGTCCTGGCCTCACTTGCTGCAAGGCAGCTTCTAGGAAAAATGAGAAGAAGATAAAACAACAGCGTCCAGGTCGGCACACTCGAAATAGTGAAAAACCCGAGGACTGATTTGCTAGAACACAAGTGTGGTAACTGCTACGCAAGCTCATCTCCTTAGGGAGCAGCCTCACCTGGGGATGGTCTGGACTTCCCAGAGTTTCCTTCATTTCCTGGGTCTTCTCAGGACCCAGATAGGATGGTCCAGGACCTGTGAGTGGCCAAGGTCTGGAGCAATCCAGCCGGTCCTCGTCCCGTAGGGCTCAGGACAGGTTCTTTCTGGATAGTACCTTGAGACCCCTCAGCCCAAACCCGTGTGTGGCATCTCCCCTGTGCCGACGGAGGGCACCAGTCCACTTTCAGAGCTGGAGCTTCAGCTGGGCGCTTGTGTGAACAGGCGCCCTGTGCTGTTCGTCCTGTGTGACTGTAGCGTCGTGAGTTCACATGTATGTTCAGTTGTGCGTTCAGCATGTTGCCAGGGTCCCGTCTAACCCATGTTACCTACACAACTCTGCAGGTTGTTAGCTCCGAGGAACTGCTGAGTGAGATTCTCACCTTCAGTACCTACAGGAGAAATCAGTAACGCTGGTCTCTGGAGGTACCAATCTCTCAGTGGCCAAAAAGCTGGCCTGTGAATTTCGGCCTGTCCTAAAAGAGCGGTGAGGAGAAGGCCTCTTTGGGGTGTGCTGATCCTCACCCAACAGAGGACTGGCCCCGGGCATGGTTGTGTGGGCAGCTTGCGTGCCATGCTTCTGTCTCATCCCCACCATGTCGTCATGGTCTGTGTGTCCGTGTCTTGCCCTTGGGAACAGTTTTACGTGTTTTTATACTAAAAATGATTCGCTACAAAATGGCTCTCCCTGGCATTCATGTCCTCATAACTGAGGTGCGTCAGGCCAACGTATTTCCTGCAGAGACCAATCGTAGCAGGATAATGTGACTTTGTTCTGAGGTGGGGTCCTGGTGGTTCCTCTGCCCCCCAAAGCAGGTACCCAGAGCTCCAGCGTGATAGGGTAAGAACCTTGAGTAACGGTGAAAGAAAAGTTGATGTTATTGTCTGCGTTTTATTTGGCAGTTTGATTTGACAGCTTGAGAGACTTCAGAGTTTCCCTCTTTCCCCCGTTGGGGACCTGAAAGCAGAATGCTGGTATTCAAACACACTTGCTTCCCTCCAGCAGCTTCTAATTCTCCACTGTCTTAAATCTGCATGCTCAGCTGCTGACACCAGCTACCAGCCAGGCTTCTCGCCAGGGCGGGTCTCCTGAACCTACTCACCTCCTTAGCCTCTGGGAATACCCTCAGAACTTGCATTTATTTTAAAACTCTGAGCTTGCCTCTGACCTTCCTTCCCAGATTGAAGCTGGTGGGTGGGGATGGGGAACATTCCAGTAATTCTCCCGCTCAGCGCTGTTTTTTTTTTTTTTTCCTTTTCAAAATTTATTTATTTATTCATATGGAACTGGGGTACAGGCCAGAGATGTGAAGGGTGAGAGGATTCACCAGAGACAGAGTGGGGAGCAGAACAGGCAGATCAAGGAAATACACTGCTGAGGGGAGCAGCGGCCGGGTCAGGAGAGGTCTGCCGCGCCATGTGGTCACCTCTGGGGCAGGCGGGATCGAACTCATGCGGAAGTGGCTTTAGATTCTCAGTGCTGTGCTTTAACCTGCTGTGCCACCAGGGAGGGGCCCTCAGCGCTGTTTTTTACCCAGTGAAAAAGCCTCTCTCTCTCTGAAGGACAGCACAAAATAGGTGCCTTGTAGAGGTTCTTGTTCTTACTGCCCCAGGGTCCCAAATGCCTCCCCCTCCCTCAGGGTGGGCTCAGCTGGCCTTGGGGCAGAGACAGTTACCTTGGCTGGGGTCTGGCTTCAGGCAGGCCTGTGGTTCTGGGTGTCTCTAGCATGTTCTGAGTTGCCCTTCGCATAGCTCAGCTAGGACAGGGCTGGGGGGGGGGGCGGGGGTCGCCCCCCTCCCGTGGGCTCCTCCCTGCCTCAGACCCTGGAAGAGGCCATCTTGTGGCAAAAAAGGGAAATACGAGAAGCCTCCTCGTTTTCTCTGCCTCTTAGAATGGACTTGAGAAAGGATGAATTCAGTGTGCCCCCCCTCAGGGGGATGGTGCAGCTTTCGTGGGGGAAATTTGAGGATGATGTGGGCTTAATTTGAAGTAGACAAAACTGTTTCAGGCACGTTGCTTCTGTTGAAAGTAAGTCTGGTTTCTGTCCCCGCTTCTCTCCACCTGCCTCTCTCGGCCTGCATTGCTTCTCTCTGACTAGGTCCCGGGCGACGGTATGTACTAACCGCCCTGCACTGCTCTGGTCTGCGCACACCCCTGTTCTCCGACAGGAAGAGAAGAGGAGAAGTAACTGGGGGTGCTGGCTGCTCCCGTGGTCAGTGTTCTGGGGCGGGGAGGGGCGCTGGCCTCTGGCAGAGGAGCCGGCGGCTGTGAGACAGTGAGGCCAGGCTCCTGCAGTGGCTGCTGCAGTTGGGGTTTCCAGGTGGCTGAACTGCCCTTGGCGATGGCTGAATATTGGGCCGGAGCTAGGAAGGGCCCGTGGAGAAAAGGCTTCTACACTGACACCAAGTGTCTGGAAGCAGATCCCAGACTCCCTGGAATCTCACTTTACTCTCCTCAGCTGCTGCCTTATTTTAGCCAGAGACTGAAGGGACCTGTCCTGCCCTGCTCCTGGGGAGCCCCACCCCTGCCCGCCCGGCTGTGCACCCTTGAGCTGTCTGCCAGTCCCTGCGCACTCACCTCCCGCCTGGGAAATCCCTGGGAGGTGGCAGCGGCCTGGCCCGGGCACACTTGGCTGGAGGGGACGAGAGGAAACAGACCCCTCCTCACGGTCCAGGGCCAGAGGTCTGACTCCCCAAGGGGCCTGGCACAGAGGAGAGACTGAAAGGCGTGATAAGGCTGCACCCTCAAATCCCTGGTGCTTAGAAAGATGATGCAGCCATTTGGGGTGTAAAGGTGTCATTCACTCTGTGACCAGGGGGTTGCTTTTCAGTCTGTGCTAAGGGACTGTGGAAAGCATAGGCGTCACCGCCCTGGCATAACCAGAGGGGTGGTCTGTGGCCTTTGATGCTCAGGCCAGTGCAGGGAGCCCCCAGAGCTAGGAGCCCTCCGCGGGGGAAGAGCCTCTGGGGGCGCAGGGCTGGGGGAGCCCCAGGCAGTCGCGCTTCTGGCCAGACTCGGGGCAGGGAAGCCAAAGTGATTTCTCCTCTTCTGTTTCTGGCCCGTGCATGATCCGTCCGTGTGGTGCGCGCTGGTGCGGGCGCGCTGACCACCGGCGCTAACGTGTGGTCTCCACTGCTCTCTCCCCAGAACACGGCTCTAGATAAGGAGGGGCAGATTTTCAGCAGCAAACCTTGTGCGGACGGCAGCCGGCCTGGGACGGAGCCCACCTGTCCAGCCCCCCCCTCGGCGGAGGCGCCCCCGGCGGCCAGGGCCCCGTCTCCTGCCGCCCCCTGCCCCCCTGCGGCCACAAGCAGGGAGCAGGCTGGCACCTGGCGCCGCCACCGTGACTGAGACCAGCGGCCGGCCTGGGGTCCCCCAGCGAAGGGCCTTTTCCTGCTGGTGGCCCAGCTCAGTGTCCCGCACCCCCAGGGCCGCGGGGGAGCAGAGCGAGGGCGGCCCCTGCCTCGGGCCCTGGCGGCGGCCTGGACAGGGTCAGCCTGGGGACGGCTGTCGGGAGCGGCTCGCTCTAGCTCATCTGTGTTTTCATTTCGACGGACGTGTTACTGCATCACCAGGAGAATGTGCAACTCGGAGCCAGCGTCGAATGCATTTTTTATAGAAACCCTTTGGATGAAGCGAGACTTCTCCCTGATTGTACTAAACTCGGGTGCTCCCTCTTTTCTTACAAAGGAATCAGAACCGCGTTGTCCCGTTGTGGGTGTTTTGCGAGCGGAGCGCGGCACCCTCCCTGCTGCGGCGGGGACTCACTGTCCACCACGGGAGGACACGAGAGCGGGGGGGACGCCTGGCTCGGACGCTGGCGACTCGGAGGTGCTTTCGGGTGCCCGCGGCAGCCCGGCTGGCGCGCTGACCACACCGCGGCTCCTTGCCTGTGCACAGCCCACGGGGGAAGGTCGCTTTCTCCCCTCGGGTGGTGCAGCCCCCGCCCTCCCCCTGTACGTATTAGGAAACGCTGACGAAGCTGCCCTGCGGGCTTTCACGGAAGGCTTGGCACACGCCCGCTCCAGCTCAGGGCGCTGCCCCCAGGCCTGCGCCGGAAGGCGGCCGCCAGCCTCCCGCAGCGTCTGCTCGTCCTCGGCTGGGCGACGCCCGGGCCGCCGGCGGTGAGGTGCTCCGGACACCCTCTGTGACTGACCTTCTGGAAGGCTGCTGGCAGCTTTTCCTCCCCCACACCCTGCTCTTTTTAATAATTGTATAGAATCCGTGTATGTATGTTTTTTCCTGCTCACCTTCGACCCGGGTGGGCCCGTAGTTCATTCTCATTGTTAGGTATCTGCCTTTACTAGTGTACCCGACCTGCAATAAACTCCCTCTCGAGAAAGGACGGTCGTGGGCGGGCGAGTTTCTTTGTGTGGCCCGCACGTGACCCGAGCCTGGCTCCTGCGCCCCAGGACCAGTCTGACTCCCACGTCCCAGGCCCACGCGGGAGGCCAGGGGGGAGGCCCGGGAAGGAAGCTGGCTCCAGGTGGTGAAACTCACAAAAGAAAAGCTCAAGGGTGAAAAGGAATTATTAGGGCATCTCGGCAACGAGGGCAGGAGGGCGGGGCGTCAGGGAAACGGGGAGTCGGGCCGCTGATGTGTGTCCCTCTGCGAGGGCCCCGTGCGCTCGGGTGCGTGGCCTGAGTTTCTGTCCTCTGCTCGCCCGTGGCGCTGGCTTCGCCTGGCACCGTGTCTCTTCCAGCTTCTCCCGGCTGTACAATTCCAGTATGGAAACCTGCTCTGTGGCTCTGGACTTCTGTTCCCTGCGAAGGGTATGAGGCATTCCTAGTTCTGTGCCCCACTCTGTGTCCCCAGAGGGTGACCTGGGACATGGCTGGGAGGAAGCCCTGGGGGCTGGGAGTACGTGAGATTGCAGCTCTTTCACCCCTTGAACAAAGCGGTGTGTGTGTGTGTGTGTGTGTGTGTGAGTGTGTGAGTCGTCGGGTGCTGGGAGCCGATCGAGAAGCCCGGTGGCCACAGGAGCTAGAAGTGGCGGGAGACAGAGCCACGATGGAGCTAAGTTCTACTGGCCCCCCAAGCTGGCATTCCTTTCAGGTGCCCAGGGCCTGGAATGGCATGGTCATCTCCATGGGGACCGAAAAGAAAGGTTTTGACACAAGCAAATTGTTCATTCATTTTTGGGGAACACTCACTGAGTGTTTATTCTGTTCTCAGAAGCAAAATTCAGGTCTGTGCTCTGGTCGCCCACCAGCGCCTCTGCTCCCGCCTGGTGAGGACAGCGTGTATCTTACTGCTCATCCCTCTACCCCAGCGGGCTCCACGCCCAGAGAAACTGACCCTCGAAAAGGGGTGGAAAAGGGTATTGCTGACTGGCCGAAGCCGCCCTGGGGGCTGGACTAGCATTTGAACCCAGAATCAGTGTGTGTGTCTGTCTCTCTCTTTGAAAAGGTTGCTGATGGAAAGAGCATGGAAGACATGGATTGGAAACATTTGACAGAACATCAGCAGAATGTTTTCTGGGTAAGAAGGTGAGCGTGAATTAAATGTGGTGGATTGAGGTGGCCTTGGAGGGGGACCCCACCCCCCAGGCATGTCCTGTCAGCCTTACACGTTAAAAGAAAAAAGAAAAGGCGTGGTGAGACTAAATTTTATATTGCATTTCATTTAACTCAGTGTCTCCAAAGATAACAAGTTGCAACAGGTAATCGATATGAAAAATTACTGGGAGAGCTTACCTTTGGGGTACTGATGTGCGCCACAGCAGATCTCAGTCTGGACTGGGCACCTGCATGGCCATCTGCCTCCTGGACAGCTCTAAAGAAAGGCCACAGGCCGGTCTGTGAGCTTAGTTTCTTATTGACATGTGAAGTGAATCCGTGCTGAATGCCAGCTTAGCCATGCTTTACCTGGGACGGACTGACCTAGAGTCATGGCAGCATGTTAGGACGCCGATCCGAAGTGTGATGTCAAGTGTGGCATCCTGGGATTCGACTCCAGCCTCGTGTGCCCAGCTTTGTGTGACCGATCCGGGCACGCAGCTGCTGCACGTCCTTTCTCGAGAGGCTCCTGCGGACCCAGGGCAGCAGTGGTGGAGTGCTTCTCCATGCGGCACTGTTCCTGGGGGTGTATGGAGGGCGGGCGAAGCCAGGGGGGGGGCGCAGCGGGGAGGTCACAGGGGGAGGAGACTCAGGCCTGGACAGCACGGACTGGCAGAGCCCGGCTGTGCGAGAACTCTGCAGAGGGAGGTGCGGGCTGCTTTCCGTTGCTCTGGGTGGGGACCCGAGCGAGGTCAGAGGTAGAAGGCACAAAGGATCAGCTGTGACGTGTGCGTGTGGAGAGCGTCTGACACGGCTGTCGGTCACGGAATTGGCTGTTTCAAGGGTGGTCATCCGGGTTTTGGAAATGCTTAGATGCTCAATAAGCACCCCAAGATTACAGGGTATTTGCTCCATCTCATTTGAGCCACACCACAGTCCCCTGGCAGAGATGTGAAAAACCCAGTGGGAGAAGAGCTTTTCCCCTTCTGCTGGGGCTGGGCAGCTTCTCCCTGCCGCCCCACCAGGTAACCAGCAAGGCTCTAGGGTGGATGGGTGGGGGGACACCCGACCCAGCGGGTGAAGATGGAGAAGCCTAAGAGGTGTCAGAGGTGTGAGGTGGGGATGAGCTCTGCTGGATGAACTTTCTCTGTGGAGGGTGATGTGTGCAACAGGGGTTCACTTCGGCTGGTGGACTTGAAGGGGATTAGGGTAAAACCCACAGCTGCAGGTGTGGCTGTCCTTGAGGGGCGAGGGGAAGACATGGCAGAGGTCATTTGCCCCTTGTCATGCTTCTTCCCAAACTTCAGCTGCCCCTTCATTGGGCTGTGCTGGGCACCATGGCCTCTGGGGTGGTGAGGCTGCCTCCAGCCTGGGGGACTGAGCTCCTGTCTGGGCTCAGGTTGAAGCCAGGTCTGGGGAATGTATTTAAATCACCCAGTTCCAAAGCTTCACAGCAGCCAGCTTCTTCCTGCCAGGTATGAGGAAATCGCCAGCTAGCCCGAATCCTGGTTTTGGCAAAGAAAAATATTCCTAAACTTGAGGCAGAAAATAATTCATATTTCTGGCATGTGACTGGAATTTGGAGGGAAGGTGGAGACTGGAGACTGCCTCTTCCCTAGAGCTCAGGAACTTTGGGAAGGTAGCTTGACTACAGGCTAAACCACCCCGGTTTCAGAGAGAACAATGGGCCAGTGCTCAACAGTTGGCATTTCTGCTTCGAAGCCTGAAGACTGGCAGGGATGTGACTGTTTTTTTGGTTTTTTTTTTAAAGATTTATTTATTCATACAGAACTGGGGTACAGGCCAGAGATGCGAAGGGTGAGAGGATTCACCAGAGACAGAGTGGGGTACAGAACAGGTAGATCGATGAAGTACACTGCTGAGGGGAGCAGCAGGCGGGTCAGGAGAGGTCTGCCACACCATGTGGATCTCTTCCGGGGCAGGCGGGGATCGAACTCATGCAGAAGTGGCTTAACCTTCTTTGTGCAGTGCTTTAACCTGCTGTGCCACCTGGGAGGGCCGTGACTGTGTCTTTAACAGCCGTCTTGGGTTTTTTAAGTCTTAGGACTCTGGGGGACCCAGGAAGTATATGTGGACTCAGCTTTTCTCACTACTAAAGTCCAAAAAGGGTCTGTCTCACTCGTCTGAAAGAGAAGGGAGTTTTTAAAGTATACTTTGCTATTTTATGTACTTTTCCTTCCTATTTATAATCAGGAAGGAAACTTCCCAGCTTCCTTGCTCACCCTGCCCTTCCAGCCCATGATGCCAACAGGGTCAGTTAACTTCATGGTATAGACAAGGGTCTCCTGGTTGAGAGAGAAACTCTTCCTTCCTGCGTTGGAGGGCAGATCTGGCCAAGCACTGGTGCATTTGCTGATGTGCTGGGTTTAAGCAGATTTGAGTTGGTGTCTCCTTACTGCGCTGTGTCTGTGGACGTGGGGTGTCCTGGTGAGAGGAGAGGAGGCCTGGCGCGCCATGGTCCCGCATACCTGTGGCTGGCAGAGCTGCTCAGCCAGGCCCTACCAACTGTTCAACTGAAGACACTTGTGCTCTTTTGCTGCACGTGGAATCTGAGTCGCCAGTCTGTGTTCTTTAGCAGTGATGGAGTGCGCAGGACGGACCGACCGGGGAGGGCCTAGCCAGGAGCTCTGGAAACCACCTGCAGTAGACATACACCCAGGACACCTACTGAGAACCTCTGCCTTGAAATTCCCACCTTGGGAAAGCTGAGCGCTTACATTTGCTTTTAATCTTATCAGCCAAAAGGGGTGCAGGGCGAGTCAGTCGCTGAATTCCCTGACTCCCGGCTGCCACCTTGCTACAGCCAGGTGCCAGGGCCGGTGCAGATGCTCAGGGCTGCCCCGCGGGGCTCTGCCCCGGAGGTGGGAAAGGCAGGCCGGTTGTCCACGGTCACTGGCTGCCATCCTGCATCGGCTCCGTCCTCTGCAGTGGTATTTCCAGGGGTGACAGTGCTCTTTCTCTTGAATTAATTAGAGCATTTATTTATGGCTGTGTGTACTCTGGGAATAAGATCCTCCTCTGTGAGTGAATTGTTTACCTGTTTGCCTGCCAGGTTTCATGCTCTTTATTCTGAGTGTTTAAGCTTTTTCACCAAGGCCTAGCAGCACTTCGCCTCCGAGTACAGGTGGGTGATACTTCTGCGAGAATCAGAACTATCAGGGAGGAGACTCGCTCCGGAGGGCGCAGGTTCGTCAGCGGGGATGGCCGGTGTGACCGCACCGGCCCTGCGCCTGCTTGATGAAGGTGCTGCCGGGTTTCCTGTCTGTGTGGTGTCCAGTCTCACACTAAACATCTCCACTCTGCCTTTGTTTCCTAGTGATTCACATTCATTTGAAGAAAGGTTTTTCAAATCAGACAAAGGAGTTAAAATCAGACAATATTAACAGGCCTGTGTTGAGACCAGCTGTATTTCTTTTATGGGGCATCACTTTACTCAGGTTTCAGCTAATTTGCCATAGTTGTATGTTTTAAGACCAATAAAGGCAGTGAGGATGATGGTATTCCTTTAGGTTCCAAGAGGGAACTGCCTTATTAACCTTGCTCACAGAGGGCACATGAAGTACCTTGTGTCTGCTTCTGATTTTTGTTTTTACCATTTTTTCTGTAATTTCCAAAATATCACATCACACAGTAATACCTATGAGAATGTGTAACTTACCGGTAACCGGGTATTCTCGTTTGATTCTAAATCCTACATTTCTGCCTTCT